CCTTGAAACATTATACTAATTGAGAGAAGCCAGAAATAACAAGGTACATATTGTATTATTCCATTTATATAAGGTGTCCAGAATAGGGAACCCATAGAGAAAGAAAGTAGATTAGTGATTGCCAAGGGCTGGGGAGGTGGGGGCGATAAGAAGTGACTACTAGTGGGTACAGGATTTTTTTTGGAGGGGGGGATGAAAATGTTCTGGAATGAGATAGTTGTGATATGCTGTTTCACAACTTTGTGAATACAAAACACTGAGTAGACCCATTAACATGGGTGAATTTTCTGATATGTGAATTCTATCTCAATTTTTAATGGACAAAATATTTCACTGGATGCTTCACTAAAGAAGATATACAGATGGCAAAATTTATATATAAAAGTGCTCAACATCATTGGTTGATAGGAAAATTTAAATTAAAATCACAATGAGAGACCAATATACACATATAAGAATATCTAGAATTTTAAAAACTGATAATATAAAGTATTGGCAAAGATGTGGAACAACTGGAATCTCATACCCTGCTAGCTGGAAGTAAAATTGTACAACCACTTTGGAAAATAGCTTGGAAGCCTCTTCAAATATTAAGCATATATCAAACATATGACCCAGCCACTCCTATGTATTTACCCAATGCAAATAAAAGACTATGTCCATACAAAGTTTTGTACATTAATGTTCATCATAGTTTTATATATAATAGCAAAAAACTGAAAGAACCCAAACGTCCGTCATCAGGTGAGTTGATAAATTTTGGCATATCTATAAAATAGAATATTCTATCAGTCGAGGTTCAACCAGACAAGCAGAACTGGTAGAATATAGATGTATATATTTATTACGGGGAATATTTGTTACAAGGAATAATTGGCAATGTGATTGTTGGGGCTGGTTAAACAAATCTGAAATACACTGGGTAGGCAGTTGAGAGGGGAAGAGCATGAGCAGGCTGGAAACTCACAGGCAAGGTGGTGTTTCCTGGGGATATAGGCACGTGGAATTTGGGAGTGATGACACTATTTTGTATCTTGATTGTGTTGGTAGATACAGACTCTGTATTTGTCTAAACTCACAGAACTGCACACCACAAAGAGTGAATTTTATGGTAAGTAAATTTAAAAATAAAATATTACACAATAGAAATATACATAAGCTAATACAGAAGAATTCATTGATAAAGAAAATATATCACATAAAAATATATTACAAAACAATCATGTTTAACTGGGAGAAATACAAATCCTACATATGTCTGTGAATAGATAGGATATGTTTGGAAGGATACATTTTTAAAAAAATTACCAATGGTTAACTGCCAAGTGGGACAAAGGGCTGGGGGTGGGAGGTGCAGGGAGTGAAAGGGATGGGGCAGAAATTTTACTTTTGACTTAATTCCCTCTGTAGTGTTTTTGTTATACATCCATTGGTTGTGTTTTACAACAATTATTTTATGATTTTCTTTGTGTTGAATTAAAATGGAGACTGGGCCTGAGGAATCCCGGAGCAGACAAAGCCAATTAGGCCTCATAAGTGACCTTAATCTTGCTTGGTTTGTCACCATAAATGGAACTTAACTTGGGATATTCCTGGTAAATACCTATATTAGAGAAGAACAAAACTTAAAACTAATCAGAAGCTGCCAACTAACGTAGGGTTATATAACTTCAGAATGTTTCAGCAGAATAGACCAAATAAGGCAACTGTGTAACTATAACCAATCAAATATTTTCTTTGCTTTATTTCCATGTTCTTCCTATGAAAACCTTTCCCTTACAGCCCCTTGGCAGAGCCCCTGAATTACTTCCAGTTTGAAGCTGCCTATCTGTTCAAATGAATTCTTTAAAAATTTGATTGTGCCTCAGTTTACCTTTTAACAGTTATAAACTATAAAAATGGGGAAGAAAAGCAGAGAACATAATACCAGGCCTGCGTCTTTCTCAGCAGACCACCTTTGCTACTATTATGTACTGGCATGGGATTCCCCCTGTGCATGTCACTGTCCCCTCAAAAATCATCTCAAAATAATTCACAGGCTACACTTTAATGTGCTGTCTATGAAATAACTTCTAGAAATAAAGATCCATGTTGGGTTGTTATTGAGTTCAATTAATTTAACTCCTCATAAAAAGAGGCTGTCAGCCACCACATACTGTGATTCCTATCACTGAGCTTCTTAGAAACATGTAGATCAGCTAAGGATTCTATGGCTTAAAAATACTAAAATGTTGATATTAGTCTCATAAAAAGGAGCAGAGTTTTCAGAATTTGAAAGATGCCTTCATAGGCATGCCAAGAACCTAGCAGATGTTTTGCAGTGTGGAAGTTCCGTAACCTGACTGCAGCTGCTTCTGCAACTCCTGGCTGTGGCATCTGTCCTTTAGTCAAAGGCAGGAGTCCACAGAATCAGGCTCAAGACTCTGATCCCCTAAGTTCCTGCTCAGGAGACTGGTTCCAGACATCCCCCAGTAAATGCTGGCTAACTCAGTGGATGAGCCTTCTCCTCCCAAAGCCACTGGGCCCTTCCCAAGTGTCAGGCTAACACCTGCTTCCGTATGCAACTTCCTCCTTCAAGGCCTCCAGAAGCCCCAAGTGCTCCTAAGTTGAGACTGGACTCCTCTGTCTGGCTTTATCAACCTCTCCAACTTGGAACTACCTGGACCTTTCAACCATATTTCCACTGTTTCCTAGTAACCTCCAGTCAAGCCTGTCATTGCTCTTGAGAGTTTGCTCCTTGTGGGCCAACGAAAAGGACAAAGGCTCAAGGGCCACACACACCATAATTCAAATCTTAGCCTGTTGCGTGATGTTGGGTGGTTTGATTTCCACATCAGCAAAGTGGGGATTTAAAAAAAATCTACCTCATTTGCCAGGCATGGTGGCACATAACTGTAGTCCCAGCTACTTGGGATGCTCAGGCAGGAGGATCACTTGAACCCAAGCGTTTGAGGTCGCTGTGAGCTATGATGAAGCCACTGTGCTCCAGTCTGAGCAACTCAGTGAGACTCTGTCTCAAAAAAAAAAAAAATCTACCTTACCTTTTTGAGGAAGTCAAGGTCACAGATGCTATGGAGCTGCAGTCCACCCACTCCTGCTCCTGACTTGTGGCTATTTGCTCTTGCTGAGAAACAAGTAGGTCAGGAAACCAGAAGGACACCATGGAACAAGAGGAGGTAATTCACCAAATTAGAAATACCCTAATCAGCCACAGCATAAAATCCCCAGAGAAGGGGTGTGCTGACTTGATCAGAAGTGCAAAGGAAAAGAATCTCAAAGTGAAAAGACCGGTTGACATGCCTACCAAGACTGAGACTTCACCACAAGAAAAATACCTCGTGGTGGTTTCGATGACATGGAATGGGTTCCATTGGTTTCTATGCAGTGAGAATGCACAAACAACTCACTGACTCACACAGTCCTTCTGAGATTGCTAAACAGATTACTTCCACCAGTACTGACCCAGAGGCCAAGGTTGCAGATACTTAAGTCAACCATTTTAATAAATTATCAGTTATTTAAAAATAAATAAAAATCTACCTTGTAGAGTTGCCATATGCATTACACTTTGTCAAGTGCATAGTAGGGTTTCCTTATAAGGGAACTACTGGTACTGGTAGTAGTATTGCTATTCTCCAACTATTCAGATTCTCTGTGGCCTTCAAAGCCTGTCCAACATCCAAACACCGTGACGTCATCTCTGACTATTCCATTCTTCATCTAGTGTGGCTCTAAGAGCAAACAATTGATCAGTCACTCCCTGGCTATTATTGTACATTAATAAATATTGCTCCTCACCTAGGCAGTAAGCAACTTAAAAATATATATTACAGTCTAGTCTAGAATGCCTCTTCAGCAGTAGTACAGCATAGTGCTTAAAGTCGTAGGCTCTTGAGCCAGGCAGTATTTATGGCCCAACTTCTTCATTTATTACCTAAGTGACTCTGGGCCAGTCACTTGACTTCTCTATGCTCAGTTTCCCCATCTGTGAAATGGGACAGCAATAACAATAGTGCCCACATACAGTGGCTATGGGGATTAAATGGAATAAGAAGGGTGCCTGGCACATTGTATCCAATTAATTATTGTCTGTGAATAAACTGACTCAAAGACCAGAAAGCAGGTGGTCACTTGGTCACTGAAATTAAGTTCTTTGGCACAAATTAACCCTCACCTTTTACCACGAAAATTTCATTTTGAAACAAGCTTTACTAAATTTACTTGATTAGATTAGTGTTTGGAGCAAAATAGTAAGATAAAACAGATACAGCCAAAGTTAGTTTTCAGAAAACAATTTGAGACTAGGCTGAAAGCCCTAAACCCACTAATCAGGAGGGTATCCTACTATGCTGCCTAAGTGTGTACTCCTCACTCCGACTCACAGCCCTGAGAGATAGACCATCACTGTTTTGTCTAATTAACAGAGGAAGGAGATAAAACATTAAAAAAAAAGCTTGCTTGTCAAAGATTTGAGTATTTTCAGTTTTCCAGGAACTTTTGGTCTGTAAAAACCACCTGGGAGTAGGCATTACTATCACCAATTAACAGCAGAAGAAACTGAGGCTCAGAGAGATTACTCAAGGTCACACAGCTGCCAACTTGGCAGGGCCAGGTTCAAACCCACATCTCCCCGACTGCCGAGCTCACGCACATCCGGCTTCCCACACTCCGAGGTCCCCGGGCGAGGCGGCCGTGGGCATCGGGCATGGAACCAGCGGGGCTCCTCAGACCCTTTATGAATAAGCCAGAGGCGGGGTTCTCCTGACTCCATTTGAAGACTCCTGCTCACCTCGTGACTGAGGGACTGGTCTTATCCTGGCTGACGAGGGTCTCTAGGTTTCTAGAAATGTGCTGAAGCAGTTAGAGAAAAGAGATCTAAGTTATGAGAGGAGGAAGCTGGCACTGCCACAGACCCCACCCGCCTCTTGTGGAAAATGATCCTAGAAGCCCTTCCCCTTGGCCCGTCACAAATGCTAAGGCCACTTGTGCTTTCCCTCCCCACTTAGGGGCCACTTGGGCGGGCTTTTCAGCTGCGTCTCATAACCCAAGTGACTTCCCTTTCTCTGCCACAAGTGACTGAGGAGCAGAGAGCTGTGTGTTCCTGGGTGACCCGGCGACCTCAACTGGCCATGCCCCGGCAGCTCTCCGCGGTGGTGGCACTCTGCATGTCCCTGGCTGGTGAGTGAGACACAGAACGTCCTCTTAAACCTAAGTGCATTCTGGTGCCCCTGACCAAGGTGAGACAGGATGGCCTGTAGGTGTGGCGTCAGCCACTGTGGGCACTTGTGGGACAGCATCCCCTCCCTGCTATCTTTCACGGGTGGGACACACCTTCCCCTTTTCCAAGGGCTTTCACAGTTTGGACTTGTTTTCTGTGAGTTGGGCAGAGTGTCAGCCCCAGAAGACAGTGACACTGTCCCTGGTTTCCAAATGGGTTCTGGGCACCTTATCAGGCAGTTTGTAGAAATCACTTGGATTTAAGAGATGGAGAGCTGAGGCAGGGCTTAGAAATGGGGGTCTGTGCTTTGTCATCGAGGAAAAGCAGTTGGGTCTCACTTTTCGTGGTTTTCTCAGGTGGGTGTGCTGGGTTCTATTATATAAACAGTGAGTCCTGAGGATGCATCAGATGTGGTCTGACAGATTGTGCCATTTTAGAAAGGTGTAAGCCAGAGTGTCAAAGACTGAAAAAAAAATCCCATTGCATTTCATATTCAAGATGCCTTCTGCGAGATTATTTTGTGTCCCAGCCCCTTGCTTTCACTAGGGCATCTTCTCTCTAAGATGTTGAGTCCTCCTTGCTGCTGTTGTTCTGTCCCTGTTATCAAGTTTGCTGGTTAGTTCAAAATTCCTTCTAGAACAACTGAATTGAACATATGAGAGAACCATCTCCGCCAGACTGCCCTGCTCACATGCTCAAATGGGGGACGCAGTGGCCCTTGGTTGTAACATGAATGTTATTAAAGCTGCGTGAAGGGTCATGCCAAGCTGCCATCGTCCAGGCTGTTTGTCTTTGTGCCATGCTTTCAGAATTATAATTTCAAGTTTTGGGGGGGATAGAAGAGGAAGTCATCATTGCATTTCTCAGGCCAAGCAAATAAAAAAGCAAAAGCATCTCAGCCTGGCAGTTACCCACAGTGGTGCCTGTGAGCGCCGATAGAATGGCTGACAGAGACAGATGGGCTCGGAGCACGGTGAGGGTTGACACACGCAAGGGCAAGTGAGAGGAGATGCCGCGTTACCGTGTCCCGTCTGAGCCGCACATTCTTAGAGGGGAACGAGTGAACGAAGAAGCATGAGAGGTTTTCCCCAGAGGCAAACTACATCCCCCGCCCCCGGGCAGATCAGTGTTGTGTGGCCTTTGAAGGGTCACACAGGACTGGATTGAGATCCTTGCCCTGACCCTTACCAGCAGGGAGGCCTTGTCCACATCACCCAACTTCCGGGTGCTCAGTTTCCTTACAGAAAGATGGGGGAAATAATATCCTCCCCAGGGGTGCGGGGAAGACGAATGAGACGTCGTCTGTGAAGCAGCCGCTATAGTGCTTTGCTCGGTTATGTCAATCCCATCTCTGGTCCCTCTTCCCATTTGCCTTCAACCCTCCCGACCGTGAGCCCCTTCTCCACTCAGCACAGGGGGCTCATCAGCACATGGTAATGATGACGGCCACCACCTGCCGGCACTTCCTGTGTGCCAGGCACATTCTGAACGCCTTAATCCACACAGCAGCTGTGTAAGTACTGATATCGTCTCCCTTTTACTTGTGAGGAAATGGAGGCACAAGGAGGTGAAATAACTAGCCCATGGCCCTGTAGCTAGTAAGTGTCAGGGTTGAACTTTGAACCAGAGTTCATTCCCTTAGCAGCTAAGCTATGTGCTCTATACATGCCTCCACTTGCCTGTATTAACTCACTTAGTCTCACAATCCTGAAAAGTAGGTGCAACTTTATCCCCATTCTACAGACGAGTGTGCTGAGACAGAGGCAGGACAAGGAATTGCTCATGGTCTCCCAGTTAGTGAGTGGCAACCCTGGGACGGGCATCCAGGAGGTCAGGCTTTTGGGTTCATGCTCTGCACTGTTGCACTACACGGCTCTGCGAGCATAGGCTCAAGAAATACCCATTGAATTGGGAATGAGCAAAAACCGTCACACATTTTGCTAGGAAAGACACAGCCTCTAGGTAAATGAGCTGAGTAATCTTTATCCAGTCACTTTGCTTTCTGGATCTCAAATTCTTCCCCCAGAAAATGAGAGGATTTAAGTTTATGTCAGTTAAGTTTAGGTTCAGCTGTAGACAAGAAAAAAGTGCAAAATAACAGTGAATCCAACAAGATAGATGTTTGTTACTCTCTCATGCGAAAACAAGTCCAGAGGAATTCAGACCAGTTCCAGTGTGCAGGCACATCACTGGGGAATCTAACATCCTTTATGTGACTTCCCCCTTCAAGGTCCCCTCATGGTTCCAGATGACTGCTGGGGCTCCAGCCATCACATTCAAGTTGTCTCTCTGCTGTGCCTGGAGGTACTGGCAAGATGCTGGGAGTTAAACTCTGGTTCCCTGAGCCTGGATGTGGCCAGTGGGTTCCAGTTGCTCCTGCCTGTGCTCCTCAGAGCTCTGCAAATGAAGTGTAGTCTCCAAGGCTTGCTAGGCCTGCTCCCTGCTGGCCTTCCCATGTCTGCCTCCCCCACACCCTCCTTATGTTCCCATCATGCTGATCCCCTTGCTGTTCTCCGAACATATGGGGATCCGAAGCCCCCATGCCTTTGCACTAACTCTTCCTTCTGCCTGAAATCCCATCTACTCTTATCTGCCTGAAGACTTTCTCCTTGTGCCAGATTCCCCATCCCACCCCACACTCCCCGTAGCACCTAGGGACTCGATGATAACACTTGTCACACTGAGGAGTGTGGTCTACTTCTGTGTCTGCCTCACAGCTCTTTGAGAGCCTCCCCCCAGTGCCTGGCATGGAGCCTGCCCCAGAGGAGGCCTCTACACACCTGCTGAATTCCATGCTGCAGGGAAGCCAGGCAAAGGCTGTCCAGGAAGGGACCCAATGTCAGGGAAATACCTAGAGAAGATCCCTTGCTGGTTGGTGCCTTTCCAGGCACTGGGCAATGACTCATTCTCCCAGTTCCTCCTGCCTTTTATAGGGGAACCAAAACCTTCTCATGCCTTTTCCTGCAGATTTCCATCTAGAGTAATCTGAGCAATGGATTGAGGCTCTGGTGTGCCTGTTTGCTGAGTCTTGTAAATTTTGGAAAGGAGATGCTGGGGCGGTGGTGGGGGGGGCAGGGGATGAGGAATCAGTGTGTGATCCCCGGTGTGATGTTCTGCGAGTAGAGGGAGGGTTGAGGCAGAGTCTGAGCTATGTCTCCTGCCTTTGCTTTTGCTCACTACCCTTTTTGTGGGTCTCAGACAGACCAGTGACCTGACCTTTACTAAACCTCTACGTGGCCAAAGGTTCTGTTTAAAAAACTGTGACCCGGTCAGATGCAGTGGCTCAAGCCTGTAATCCCAGCGCTTGGGAGGCCAAGGCGGGAGGATCGCTTGAGCCCAGGAGTTCCAGGCTGCAGCGAGTTGTGATTGTGCCAGCTTGGGCTACAGAGCAAGATCCTATCTCAAAAACAAAAAATTATGACCCAATTCTGACAGAAATCAGTCATATATGTGTAGTTACATACATAGATTTTATAAAACAGAGTATTATATTTCCAGATTTATTGAGTACTTCACAAACATACAGAGTTTCTGGGGACATATGACAATGTGTGGCATACCCACCCCTGTCAGTTTTCCATTTAATCACCTGCCCATCTCCTATGACCCACACTCCTAGAGGGAGAGGGGGAGGAGGAAGGACAGGGGAGGGAAGGAGAAGAGGAATGTGAGAACAATGTTTCTCAGACATGTTGACCTGTGAACTTGGCACTTTCAGTCCAACCACCTGCCAGACAGCCTCTGTCCACCACCAAAGACACACCTATGCCATATCAAGACCTGATGGCTCCCATAAATATGTGCGATTATTGTTTTTCAATTTAAAAAAACTTTAAAAAAAAGAAGAATACCCAGGCCAAGCATGGTGGCTCATGCATGTAATCCCAGCACTTTGCGGGGAGGTTGAGGCGGGAGGATCACTTGAGCCCAGGAGTTCGAGACCAGCCTGTGTAACATATAGTGAGTCCTCATCTCTACTAACTAAAAATTTGAAAATTATCCAAGCATGGTGGTGCACACCTGTAGCTACTCATGAGGCTGAGGCACTTGAGCCCAGGAAGCGAGACCCTATCTCTAAATACATATATATATATATATATATATATATCCAATTGCTCCAGAATCATTTATTAAAAGACCATCCTTTCCCTTACCATGTATATGTGAGTCTATTTCTGGACTGTATAGTCTTTTTTATTGGTTTGTTTGTCTTATACTAGTATCACACTGGACTTTTATATTACTATAATTTTATATTAAGTATTTTAACCTGGTAGCACAAATAAATAAATAAAGAGATAGCATGACTGCCATCACCTCCGGCCACCCTAGCAAGGCTCCCTACATACCAAGCACACCTTGACCGGGTACCACACGTCCCTTTGGCCTGTTTAGGATGCTGTTCACTTGTGAGCAGCCAAATCGTTAGTGTGGAAAGCTCACTAGGTGCTCACAGCTCGAGGAAAGAAAGATTTCTCACGCAGAGATTAGGACATATAAAAATAAAAAAGTTTATTTTATCTATTTAGAAGGAGAGAGAGAATGAGAGTGAGGTAGAGAAGGGAAAGAGAGGGAAAAAAGAGAACAGGGAGACAGCATGGCATCTGAAAGAAAGAGAGGAGGGTGCCAACCCTGAGGCCAAGTGGCTTGCTGATTTTAAGGAGGACCAAGAGAAAAAAAAATAGTGATCACTGTCAGCTGATAACAAAAGCAGCAGCAGCAGGATGTCAAAGTCCAAGAGTTGGTTTCCCAGCCTTTTCTTGGAGACAGGATTATCAGGATCATTACTCAGACATGACTCTGCCCTGTAGATATGGTTGAGGCTGTAGCTCGTTCACCTGCTGTTTACTCAGGAACTCATTAAAGGCAGATACTCAAAAAACAATTTTAAAGAGAAATATTTACATCCCTTTTCCATCCATTCAGCTCTTTTCAGAAGTTTTGCAAACTTGCAAAAATAAAAGGAAAATACCTAATCCTATAATTTCTAAGTAATAGTTAAAACTCAATCCTAGGAGTTCTCCTGCTAACAGGCGCCACTCGAGAGTTCTGTTTGCAAATGATTCTGGAGCAATTGGATATTTGTTCACAAATGTTCCTTTTTTGTTATTTGAGTTCATTCATCCCTACTGAGAGAGGAGTTCTAAATGCATCTTGAAGAAGGCTCCCTTTTTTAAAGGGTGTGCTACTCAGTTTAAGAAATTCTCCTCAGTTGAGAATATCGTCTATAGCTTATAAACACTAGCCATACACAGTTGGATTTTAGCAAGGATATAATCACCTCCCCAAGAGAACAATAGGCAAGTAGTTTTTCAATCTCCTGGAGTTCTTTGCAGAACACTTTGCTTTTCACCACAAAATATTACTGGAAACCACTTCTGAGAGTGAATTCTCTTTCCCCATAGTAATAGTATTAATAAGAACCTAATGGGGTTCTTATTGGTTCTTGACCAAAGAACCAACAACTCAGATTTAGCCCAAATGAATTGTTAAACTAAACCTTCAACAACAGTCAACCTCCATAACACTCTTGAAGTGAATAATCTTTCTCCAAGCCCTAGGATGTGGACTTAAAGGTCCTGTGTGTAAGGATTTTACAAAGGTTTATGAAGTAATCCTATAGCCCATAAAATCTACAACTCTCAAGTATAATGCATTTAACCTATGCAAATAAATAGTTTAGATATAAAAGAATCTTAAATAATGACCTCAAATAACTTAATGTCTTTTTAAAAAGTATCCAAGGTGATTTCAACTGATGTTTTTGTCTTTCTCATTTTGCGAACCAGTTGTGCAGAAAAAATTCACAGATCTTACTACTGGGCTGAAAGCTAGAACTTTTTTTCTGGAAAATAATCACTATTTTGGCACACAAACCTTCAAAAACCTCACCAAGGACCACTATTATGAGGATTTGGTGAATTGGGGTCACTGAAGGACCACTGCTATCCTTCCATCCTCTGCTTTTGTCTCTTCTCTCACCATTTTCCCCAGTGCCACACTCCACCTCCAGCCTCCCCCAAATCCAAGGGCAGGCTTTGATTCACATGTACAGGGGCTCAAGTCTCAGTTCCAGTATTGACTGATTGTATAATTATGACCAAGTAGATTGAATTTTCTAAGCCTGAGTTTCCTCAAATTTAAAAGATGGATAAAGATAGTACCCACCAAAGGGTTTTTGAGGGAAGTTGGTAAAAGATGACCCTTGACCTGGGGCCTGACATGTAGGAAGTGTCCAGTAATTTGCAATTTGTATTATTAATATTAAAAAAAGTAACCACTTAGAAATGTATCGAATGGAAGAGGGAGTTAGAAAAGGCATTTATGGATTATGGATTATTTGGTTTGGCTATGAACTTTAGGACTTTGTAAATACCAACACAGAATGATCTCCTTTTCCTATTCGAGTGTTTTCCCAAGTCCCAGTGCAGCACGGGACAGCTCAGCTCCAGTGAGCGTCTGTGGGTAAATATGATGAAAGCACAGAATTGAAGGGACACAGCCACCTCCCAGTCTGCCTGGTCATAAGCTCCCAGAGAACGTCATCTGTGTTTTGTGTACTTTTCTGGGCTGCGATGTGCCTGGCAGGAGGCAAGGATAGAGCTGTTGTGGCTGAAAGAGAGCCAGAGGCCTTCTGCCCCTAAGGGACTGCCTTGGAGGGAGCCTGTGACAGCAGTAGACACTGCGTGTGTGCTTAATGGTCCATGAAGGCTTTCATTTAAACCAATGTGTTTGAGCCTTACCATACTCCTAGAAGGTCTGCAATGCTATTATCCTGTTTACCCATTCAGTTATTTATACATTCAATCCGGATTTACTGAGCACTGTCTATTTATAGGCACTGGTGGTGGAAACAGTACACACAGTTCCCACCATCAGGGTGCTTTTAATATGGGAGAGATGCACGATCAACAAATAAACCAATAAGTAAACATTTAATCAGGGCTGATATTCTGCTGGTGCACACTGACTAGGTTAAACATTTGAATAACATCCCAATATATAATTTCAAGTTGTAATTAATGTGGTGAAATCAATGAATATAACATTGCAATGGAGAATCATGGGGGCGGGGTCCTATTTAACATAAGGAGAACGGGGAAGGCTCTCTGAAGAGCTGACATTAAAGCCAAAACATGAAGGACAGCCCACCTGAAATAACAAAGCAATTACTGCTTAATTTTCTTTCTCGGTCGAGAAAGACTGGGTCACTCAAAAGGTTAAGTAAGGAAATGACAGGAATTGGTCTAAATTTAGAAAAATAATGAGTGGCAAGATAAAAAATGGAAAGGCCTATATAGTGAGGAAATGAGTCTCTCATCCTTGGGGGCGATTAAGCATAGGCTGGGTAACCACATGGCAAAGATCTACAAATACGATTCATGTATCAGATTAGAGTTTGGACTACATGACCCTTAAGACCTTTTTCAAACCTGGGATTATATGATTCTATGAAAACTATAAAATTGTGTAAATCTTCATTACACAATCTTTATTCATGCTTCCCCAGCTCTGTTTAATCAGGAATATTATATATTCCTGATTGTGAATGTGAATGTGAATATGAATATCTGGATTCACATTTGAAGGTGGAGAATGAAGAGACAATGACACCTAGATACTTAGCTGAGTATGATCACTTTGGTGTGTATTATCACCACACCCTATATAGACAGAGAGGCTGAGTGCAGAAGAATGTCTGTGGTGTGGTCATAACCCTGTAAAAATCGTGGGTGCAACCAAAACATTGCAATTGTGGCCGAGTGGTAGAATCTTTGGTGATCTTTGCTTCATTATTATATCCTTATAAATGTCTCCCAGATCTAATAATAGTTTTTTTTTAATGAACAAACATTAAAATGGGAATGGGAGAGGGACCCCATAAGTAATCAGTTAGTGTTTTAACACTTTTATTTCCTAATTTGCAGTAATTTTGCAGGATGGCAGCCAAGCAAGAGCAAAAACATTTCCAGAAACCAGAGTCTATCTTCAACCCACTACAGCAGCCACAACAAAACCTTCTCTCTTGCAACAAACTAACCAGGTGCCTCACAAAACTTTAGCAGCAAGATCAACGGCTGGTCACATCACCTCCGAAATAGCTGTCACAGTAAAAACTCCAACAACTACCCCAGGAACTACAGAAAACACCCCACCCACCAGCCCAATTATGCACACCTTGATCACAACCCAGGCCACAGCCAACAACTCTCACACGGCTACTCCAGTGACTGAAGCTACCATCGGCAACAGCTCAGCCCCTCATTCACAGACACCCACCAGCCCCCCGCCAGCCCACACGACGGGAACCAGCCCATCAGCTGTCCCCTGCAAAACTGGGCAAACTGCCCACCCCAGTAACCCGACCACTCTCCCAACAACGTTGTCCACAGCACCACACAAAAGCACAACCAGTCAGAAGCTTACTCAATCCAGCTACGCCCCAGGAACAACTACAGCCGCACACAACGCCACCCAAACAGCCTCACCTGCCTCCACAGCTCCTGGGCCCACTCTGGCCCCTCAGCCATCATCAGCCAAGACTGGAACTTATCAAGTTCTAAATGGAAGCCGGCTCTGTATAAAAGCAGAGATGGGGATACAACTAATTGTTCAAGACAAGGAGTCGGTAAGTTGGGGCCATAGGACTATAACACTCTCTTCAAAAAGTTTGAGGGGAGTTTGCCTTGCTAGGAACAAGCATTCCCTTGCATCCTGGGTCTTAAGATGAAATAAAAAGCTATGAGTTCATCTTTCTCCAAGGTGCTCCATTAAAAGATGGATATGTTTTAGAATACATATAAAAATAGAACCTAAGTAGCAACTATTTGGAGAGAGGAAGGCACGTGACAAAAATTTAATATTCACAATATTCACACCCACACTGTAGCCAACATGGGCAGAGTGTTGGGGTATGTTCTGTGTCAATCCTGCCTGGCCCTGCCACTCCAGATGATTGGCAGCCTCAGATCCTAGTCCGATGGTCTCTCTGGTTCCAGCCAATGTCGACACTAACACAGAAAATCCAGACTAAGAAGAAGACCAAGGGAGAAAGGTTATGATTATTTGATTTACTAAAGAAATCCCCATAAAATAATGCGTTCTTTTTTTGCACAGTTTTTATGATTTCAAATAAATCTTCCACATTCAGGTTTTCATTTGAAACAGAGGTACCTTACAGAACAAACCCTTCTCTATAGTACCTTTCAACGTGTTTAACTTAAATTCCATGCAGTTTATCAGGAATATACCTGCCATGAATTATTGACCAAGGAACTCCCACCTGTGGGAGAACTGTTGAACAAAACTGTGGACATGAGCGGTGTCATCCGGGGACTTCGTAGCTCTCAAGTGAACACCCACTTAGCCTGGTGTTTGGGGCTCATTTACTAGTCTCGTACTTCTAGTTTCCTAGCTAGAGTTTTCTCCTATATCTCATTGAGCTGAGATCTATCTTGTTTGTTTTAGGTTTTTTCACCTCAGAGATACTTCAACATCGAGCCCAACGCAACCCAAGCTTCTGGGAACTGTGGCTCCCAAAAATCCAACCTTCTCTTGAATTTTCCAGGTGGATTTGTGAATCTCACTTTTACCAAGGTGAGCTCCTTCGTGCTAACTGGCTCCAGTGTGGCTTTCTCTTTTCCTCACCAGGGGCCCAGTGGTACAATCCTCCCACCTCAGTTCTGAGATTGTCCCTGATAAGAATAAGAGGTGTCGGGATAGAAAGGAGGAAGTGTCGACATCTTATGTTTGCCTTCTTCCCCCTTCAGCCTGTTCTGTGCAGCCCAAGGAGGGCTTCAGTGCCTCTTAGTGGCGACTTGGCCTCTGGGGAACACAGCTTCTCGTGCCCTTTGCAAACACACAAAGGAGGAAGTGGTACAGATAAACAGACCCGTAGAAATTCCCAGTGGGCGCCAGAGAAACAGGATTAATCTAAAACCAAAATCAAATGTCAGAATGGGTTCTTTCCAACCACAGCAGGCAAAATTCAGGGACTAACCAGGCCCTGGGTTTTCCAGACCACATGCTGGAAGTGAGCAGACAACAAAGTGGAGTGGACAGAGCAGTCAGAGATTGAGGTCAGAGAATCTCTGACCTCAATTCGACTCTGTCAGTTGTTCTCCTGATGACATCGGGCTGACAACCTGTCTGAGCTGGGACTTAGAGATAACCTCTGTACAGAGCATTCCCCATACATGGAAAGGGGTGGCTGTTGAATACCCTGCAGCTATAATTGCTGTGACTGAAATTGGCAAATGTCTTGGGGACCTGTCCAGGCTGGTCATCACACTCTCCAGGGAGACACTTGCCCCTGCTTGCTCCAAAATGTCTTTCAAATAGGCCAAATAAGAGCTGGGGAGGAGGCACTAAGAGGCCCCTTGCAGCTGGTACTAGCTGCATGGTCTTGGGCTAGTTAGATCCTGTTTCTTGATCTATAAAATGGAAATAATTATATTTACCTAAAAGAACCCTTGGGAGGATTAGAAATAGTGTGTGTAAAGTGTCTCGCACAGCGCTTGCTGCATAGCAATGTTCAAGAAAGAACATTGGTGGTTATGATGGTTGTTGTTATTGTTAACTTGCTCTCAAAGGCTGTGTTCTGGTGCATATGTCTCTCTGTAAGACAGAGATGAACTTGAGAAGTCAGTGGTTTCCTTTCCTTATGAAATGGGAAAGACGTAATCCCTCACACCAAATAGAAAAAATATTCAGGGCAAAATAAGTGCTCTATCCCTGGACAATTGAAGAAAAACTATAGAGGTGCCAGGAATTTCTGAAGAAAGTCACTTCAGCAAAATGGCAGAGGATAGGCCGGGCGTGGGTGGCTGACGCCTATAGTCCTATCACTCTGGGAGGCCGAGGCAGGCGGATAGCTTGAGGTCAGGAGTTCAAAACCAGCCTGAGTAAGAGCGAGACTCCATCTCTACTAAAAATAGAAAGAAATTAATTGGCCAAGTAAAAATATATAGAAAAAATTAGCCAGGCATGGTGGCGCAGACTTGTAGTCCCAGCTACTCGGGAGGCTGAAGCAGGAGGATTGCTTGAGCCCAGGAGTTTGAGGTTGCTGTGAGCTAGGCTGATGCCATGGCACTCTAGCCAGGGCAACAGAGTGAGACTCTGTCTCAGAAAAAAAACCAAACAAACAAACAAACAAAAAAATGGCAGAGGATACACACTTGCACAATTATGCTTTGGTTCAGGGCTCAGTTCCACCAGGACCACTGCTGCTATGATTCATTGCCTAAGGGAAGGGATCAGAACCTCTAGCATTTGTCCTTGGCATGCAAGGTCAGCTGCTGCCAGGCCTTAGGCAGAACTACAAACAGGAGTTTCTTTGATGCTTTCAACCTCTCTTTTTATTACTTTCCTGTCTTCTGATGCTCCAACTCTGCCTTTCCGGTGCCTTCATGCTGGACTCTGTTTGAACAAGCTCCACCTAAGTGTTGAATCCCTGCCTTTATGAAAATCCTTTGTGCTCCCAAATTACTTCTCCCTCCAGAACTACGGGCAGGAAATGAGTGTTCAGAGAGAGCTAGAAGCACCAGCAAACCCTCCCACCTCCCTCCACTTTCCTTTGAGAAGGGGCAGGGTGAGCAGCTCTCAATCCACAGCCCCAAGTGTTGCAATAGCTGTTTTTCCTGAGTCCACCGGCCAAATTCACCTCATTCCATCCATTTCCCAGCACAAATTCCTGAAGCAGCTGCCCTCAGTTCCAGGACAGGAGGAAAGCAAAGAGGCTCATAGAAGGTCAACATTCCCATCAGCCTCAGTCCTCCTGAGGAATTTCTGCATTTTATTTTTTTTTATCTTTTTTTTTTTTCTATCTATAGCAAGTGCAATGCATTTTATTTTACAAAATTTTTGTGTTCAATTATGTAAGTACATAATAGTTGTATAAATTTGTAGGGTACATACGATGTTCTGATACAAGAATACGATCTATATTAATCAAATCAGGGTAATAGGGGTATCCATCACCTCAGGCATTTATCATTGCTTTGGGTTAGGAACATTCCAATTCTACTCTTAGTTATTTTGAAGTACACCCTAACTTATAGTTCACTATAGTCACTTTGTTGTGCTATTGAATATCATTCATTCTATCTAACTATTTTACTGTATTTTTATACCCATTAACCAGCCCCACATTATCCTCCCTTCTCTGCTACCCTTCCCAGCCTCTGGTAACCATCATTCTGCTCTCTGTCTCCATGAGGTCAATTGTTTTAATATTTACTTCCCACATATGAGTGAGAACATGTGAGATTTGTCTTTCTGTACTTGGCTTATTTTACTTATCATAATGTTCTCCAGTTCTACTCCTGTTGTTGCAAATGACAGAATTTCTTTTGTGTATGTGTGTAGCTACACAATATTCCATTGTGTAATGTGCCACAATTTCTTTATCCATTCATCCGTAGATGGACACTTAGGTTGATTCCAAATCTTGGATATTGTGCATAGTGCATGTAATAAACATTTTCGATATACTGATTTTCTTTCTTTTGGATATATACCTACAAGTGGGATTGCTGGGTCATGTTCTATATTTTTAGTTTTTTGAGGAACCACCATTCTGTTCTCCATAGTGGTTGCACCACTTTTCATTCCCACCAACAGTGTACAAGGGTTCCCCTTTCTCCACATCCTCACTTGCATTCATTGCCAGTCCTTTTGATAAAAGCCATTTTAACTAGGGTGAGATGATATCTCATTGTAGTCTGTTTTGCATTCTGCCAATGACATTGACGTTTTTCATTGACCTATTGGCCATTTGTATGTCTTCTTTTGAGAAATGTCTATTCAGATCTTTTGCCCATTTCTTAATTAGATTATTTGATTTCTTCCTGTTGATGTGTTGGAGCTCCTTGTATAGTCTAGCTATTAATCCCTTGTCAGATGGGTAGTTTGCAAATATTTTCTCCCATTCTGTGGGTTGTTTCTTTACTTGGTTGATTATTTCCTTTATTGTGCAGAAGCTTTTTAGCTTGATATGATCCCATTTGTCCAGTTTTGCTTTGGTTGTTTGTGCTTTGGGGGTATTACTCAAGAAATCCTTTCCCAGACCAATGTCCTGAAGCATTTCCCCAATGTTTTCTTTTGGTAATTTTATAGTTTTGGGTCTTAGATTTGTCTTTAATCCATTTTGATTTGATATTTATATATGATGAAATATAAGGGTCTAGATCCATCCTCCTGCATATGGATATCCAGTTTTCCCAGGATCATTTGTATTAATAGAAGAGATAGTCCTTTCCCCAGTGTATGTTCTTGACAACTCTACTGAGTTGCCAACTCTGATAAGTTCACTATAGATGTGTGGATTTATTTCTGGGTTCTCTGTTCTATTCCATTGGTCTATGTGTCTATTTTTATACCAACACCATGCTGTTTGGATTACTACAGGTCTATAGTATAATTTGAAGTCAGGTAATGTGATTCCTCCAGTTTTGTTCTTTTTACTCAGGATGGCTTTCGTTACTCTGGGTCTTTAGTGGTTTCCTGTGAATTTTAGGATTATTTTTTCTATTTCTGTGAAGAATGTTACGGGTATTTTGATGAGGACTGCATGAAATCTGTAGATTGCTTTGGATAGTATGGACATTTTAACAATATTTACTCTTCCTATCCATAAGAATGGAATATCTTTCCATTCTTGTGTGTCCTCTTCAATTTTTTTCATCAATATTTTATAGTTTGCATTGCAGAGATCTTTCATTTCTTTGGATACATTTATTCCTAAGTGTTTTATATTATTTATAGCTATTATACGTGGGATTACTTTCTTGGATTCTTTTTCAGATTGTTTGATGCTGGCATATAGAATTGCTACTGATTTTTGTATGTTGATTTTATATCCTGCAACTTTATTGAATTTGTTTATCAGTTCTAATTGTTTTTTGCATATGTGGAGTCTTTAGGTTTCCCTACATATAAGATTGTATCAGGCCAGGCTCAGTGGCTCATGCCTGTAATCCTAGCACTCTGGGAGGCCAAGGCAAGAGAATTGCTCGAGCTCAGGAGTTTGAAACCAGCCTGAGCAAGAGCAAGACCCTGTCTCTACTATAAATAGAAAGAAATTAATTGGCCAACTAATACATATAGAAAAAATTAGCCTGGCATGGTGGCGCATGCCTGTAGTCCCAGCTACTCGGGAGGCTGAGGCAGTAGGATTGCTTGAGCCCAGGAAGTTTGAGGTTGCTGTGAGCTAGGATGATGCCATGGCACTCACTCTAACCTGGGCAACAAAGTGAGACTCTGTCTCAAAAAAAAAAAAAGAAAAGAAAGATTGTATCATATACAAACAAGGATAATTTGACTTCCTCCTTTCCAATTTATTTCTTCCCTTTATTTATGTCTTCCCTTTATTTCTTTCCCTTGTCTGATTGCTCTAGCTAGAATTTCCAGTACTATGTTGAATAACAGTGTTGAAAGTGGGCATCCTGTCTTGTTCCAGATCTTAGAAGAAAGGCTATCAGTTTTTCCCCATCCAGTATGATACCAGCTGTGGGTCTGTCATATATGACTTTTATCATGTTGAGATAAGTTCCTTCTAGACTCAGTTTTTTGAGAGTTTTTATCATGAGGGATGTTGA